TGGTAAGTAACAAGTAATCTCTGAGGTAGTAACTTTGAGACATTGTTAATATCCTGTTTCCTAATAGCCTTTTGCATAGTGGTATTAGGGTTTCTGTCAGAATCAGTTATATGTGTAGTTGCAAGATGGGGATTTTTAATTCTGTCATTCCTCTACATTAATAGGTAGCATTTGTTTTATAGAGAACTTCTCCCTTTTTTTTCTTTTCAGTTGTTATTGTGCTCTCAGATATTATCATTTATTACCTGATTACTCTTTCTGATACCTACATTGTCCAAATTTGACCAGTGAGAGCCCCTTCCCCAGGGGACCTTTTGTGCAGGCTTCCTTGTACATACATGAACACATATCACATATGCATATGCTCATGCTCTCTGTCTCTGTCTCTAAATAAATGTGATAAATACCATGGGACTTTCCCTCCTGTACTTGCTTTATTTCACTCATATGTTAATCTGTTAATATTGAGATTCTTTTCATGTGAGTACAAATGGGATATATTATTCTTTTTAATGTTACATAGTTAGCTATAGAATGGTTCAAACGTGATGTCTTTATTTTTCTTCTTTTAAGTTTTTCACTTGTATATAGTACTAACAGATATGTGTCATATATAATCATGTAATAATTTCTGTGGGATCGATTCTTAGAAGTGAAATTGCTGAATCTAAAGATAAGTATGTTTTAAGTTTAAAGAGACAGAATTGCCAGAAAGATCTTCAGAAAGACTGTACTTGTTGATATTCTTACCAACAGTGTACAAAATACTTGATAACTGCATATTAGTAAATTTTCTTTCAATCTTTTGGAAATTATCACTTGATTAAAATATGCATTCATGTTATTATGAGTGAAGTTTGGTATCTTGTGGCCACTTGCATTTTATGTTGTTACTTGCCTTGCATTTCCTTTGTCATTTCTTAATAAGTTTGCTTGTCTTTTTCTCATTGATTTACTTTAATTTTTTAATCCTTTCACTGCTGTATGTGTTATGGAGATTTTCCATTCTTGCAAATATTTTTTCCACCCTTTCATGTACTTTGTAACTTTGTGTTATTTTTCATTGCTTATAGAATTTTCCTTTTAAAAAAAATTACAGCAGTGGATCTTTAGCTCTTTTTTGGAACTTTTTAAGTTCCAAAATGAATTTTTATATAAAATTAATCCAGAGAAAGGGAAATTTTCTAAAGCACAATAGGAAGCTAGTCTTGCTGGTTTCTTTCTTTCCTTTTATTTTTTTTTTTTCAAAGATTTTATTTATTTGTTTGACAGAGAGAGAGAAAACAAGCTGTGGGGAGGAGAGGGAGAAGCAGGCTCCCGCAGGGAGTCTGATGTGGGGCTCTATTCCAGGACCCTGGGATCATGACCTGAGCCGAAGGCAGAGGCTTAACCCACAGCCTCCCAGGTGCCCCTAAACATTGTTTTATAGAACTTTAAATTCCGTTTTGCATGGAGGAAAGAAAAAGATCTTAAAATGTGTTTAGTCATTAATTAAAAAGTATCAGAGTGGTTATACCATGTTAGAACTTTGGTCTAGAGGTCAGAAGACTAAATAGGTATGGTGGAGAAGTATTGGAAAAACAGCAAGTGAAGAACTCTATAGAGGACCTAACACACTGTGAATCATCTTTCAGGGGCATTGAAGCTGAAGAAGAAATACTTAGGCACCTGCTGACTGCTCTTTGAACTTACGTGATACTGATCTTCTAGGTTACAAAGTAGGGATTTCCTAGGAGAACTGCTCAAAAAAAAATCATTCTTCAGGTTGTTTTTAGGTTTAATCTCTATGCAGATTTTTGCCAGTGTGTAGAATATTCTTTAAAAAGTAGAATGGAAATTTTGCTTTATTGTAAAAAACTGCTGTGATTTACCTTGATTTTGGCAAATAAAGTGAATAAAATAACCCCACAGGGGCTTTGTTATTTTGGTAATTGCCTACTTTGTGTGAATACAGATGAAAGAATTTACTTCAAAGGAACATTATTTTGTAAAGAAAATAGATTTTTTTTCCTTGTAGTATTGTATAAACCTTTGAGATAGATTAATTTTTATTGTTTTGTTTTGTGATTTTTCTTTGAATATGATATTTTGCTTACTATTATGTTTACTGAAAAATTCTCTTTTATTGGTGATAATAATAACTGCTCCCAAGGAGAAAATTGTATTTCCTTTTCATTTTGGGATTTGTCATCTAAAAAATATATACCTAAACAGAAGTGAAGATAATGACTATCAGCTACAATTTAATGATATTAAAGAATTTAATAAGTTTTGATTTCTTTGCTTATCTTGTGTACTATAGTATAGCTACTTTGAAATCTTTTCTTTGGCAAGCTTTTGTATGATTGTCAGATTACGTTAAGGTTCACTGTTAGAGAGCCTTTGAATAGCATGAAGATGACAATTATGGCATCTGCTTGAGGCAGCTTATGTAAGTCATAGTTGCATACCAACTTTTTAGTTTTCTGCCTACCAGGCTATTTTAATTATGATCTATAGGCAGTGGTAGCATTGTGTGACTTAAATAGTTACACATGACTATTAACCTGTTAGTAACATCTAGTAAATTAATGTTGGTACTTTAAAATTACTTACTCGTTGTATATGGTTCTCTTCTTTCTGGGTGATTTAACTCAGTATTTATACATTTATTTATTTATTTTAATTTGAGTATCTTTGGTGTTTGTGAGAAGACACTCTCCAGTTTAGGCTCCAATTGTTTAGTGTGTAACAGTTCAAATAATCACATCTTACACTGGATGCACATAAACCTACCTGTGTGGTAAAGCCTTTTGAGAGATGATTGTTGCTTACATATGTTTCTTACAGTGTTTTTTGGTTTGTTTGTTTGTTTTTATTTTTTATTTATTTTTTATTTTTATTTTTTTAAATATTTTATTTATTTATTTGACAGAGATCACAAGTAGGCAGAGAGGCAGGCAGAGAGAGAGGAGGAAGCAGGCTCCCTGCTGAGCAGAGAGCCCGATGTGGGGCTTGATCCCAGGACCCTGGGATCATGACCTGAGCTAAAGGCAGAGGCTTTAACCCACTGAGCCACCCAGGCACCCCTTTTGTTTGTTTTTAATGTCTTCAGTTTATAGAGGTCACTTTGGATGCCCCTTAGAATTTGGCACTTAGACTCTTAGAATAAACCTGGTCAGAAGATCCTGGGGTGGTTGGTTTATTTGGCTATCTGTAGAAGCAACCTATCTTGGAGAAGTAATAAATGTGTCTTGGGAGATCAGAGAAGTGCTCATGCCTAAAGGTGATGAAGGCCTAGAATTGTAGTTTATTTCTATTTATGCATTAATTTTTTTTCTCTTCAGGATATTTTTATCATGAGGATGGTGTCTTCCTTTCTAGAAAAAGAGAAATTAGGTAATATGAAGTTTTGGTGTCAAGCATCATTTAGGGAAAAGAAAACTATTTAGGACTCTTGATTTTTATAGTCCATAGTGTAAGTCATCAAGAGTTTGCCATGGTTTTGTATAGTCTGGGTGAAATGATTTCTGGACTTTTCAGTTGCCCTTTATTGGTTTCCATATTTATCAGTACTATGTCAGTGCCAATACATTCTTCTTGGTATTTTAATACTGAAAAAAAATTATTCATGGTAATGGATATGACATCACTGTCTAGTGAGTTTGGTTTGTCACACACTAAGAGCCTCATCAACACTGAGTTCATTGAAAAAATTGAGTTTCAGGAATTTTAATGAGAACCTGATCTTACCAAAATGTTCAGTGATGTTTTGCTTGAATTTGCTATTGGTGTACATGTTTGATATCTAATACACTCTTTTTAAGCTCAAAATCAAGGAAAATATTTTTGATTTTATAAAAATTTTAAATCTGGAAGTGCAAATAGTAACTTTAAATATAATTTGTAATTGTAGATATGTATATTTTCATTGATAAGGAAACATTTTGCTCTTCATAATTGAAAGGTAGTTAAGTGTAACATGATCTATTCTAAAATGTAAAGACCTATACTAATTAATCTTGTTTGTTTGCAATGAGGATCTTTAAAAATTTTTATCACATTTTCTAATTAAATAATTTAACTTCTCTCAGAATATTGAGTTAAACAGAAAAAGAATAATCTCCTGTTTTCATTAATTTCAGTTATCGATAAATTTTTACAGAAGATAGACTTATAAATGTTTAAAAAGATCAAATACCTTCTAGAACTTGAAGTTGGCTCAATTGTAAATGGAACTCAGTTTGTCTAACTCTAGTCTGAACACTTCAAATTGTTCTATAACCTTTATTTATGTCTGTGTGGGTTTCTTTATGTATTTTTCTTTTACTAATACTTAACTTGTGTTTATGGTTATAGGAGTTTGTGTTTTACCTGTCATCTTCAAAGTTAGAGACTTTTTTGATTGTATATTTGTTTTGTGTGAGCATGGTCTTAAATAAGTTTAAGTGTCCATTATAAAAGGAGATCCATAAATACTAATCAGTAGTTCCTAGCTGCATTTCATTTCTCCTTAATGAAAATTTCTATTTTTATGTAATCTTTTATTATTTATTTATTTATTTATTTAAAGATTTTATTTATTCATTTGAGTGAGAGAGAGAATGAAAGGGGAGAAGGTCAGAGGGAGAAGCAGACTCCCCATGGAGCTGGGAGCCTGATGTGGGACTCAATCCTAGGACTCCGGGATCATGACCTGAGCCAAAGGCAGTCGCTCAACCAACTGAGCCACCCAGGCGCCCTATTTTTATGTAATCTTTTAAAGAACTATACATTTTTCTATTCCCGTAATGCTGTTCCAATAGATGTAAAATTATTTTAAAAGGTCATTTTTGTTTCATTGTGCATACTATGGTAGGTGAAAAGGTACTTTTATAAAATTATTTCACTGTTTTGACTTTAATATCATTCTTATAAACCATTAATTTTTCAGATTTGTTCTCTAATTCCCTTTTTCTTTTGTAATTTTATAAATGAGTTAAACAGTAACCTACTTAATCATATCTTTTTTTTTTTTTTAGGTTGCTATGGAGTTGATGGAGAGAGTGACTCTATTATGAGTTCAGCTTCTGAAAACTCCACGGAACCTTGGTTTTGTGATGCCTGTAAATGTGGTGTTTCCCCTAGCTGTGAACTGTGTCCTAATCAGGATGGAATTTTCAAGGAGACAGATGCTGGAAGGTTGATGTCATAATTCTGATGGGTTAATATGCCTGCTTTATAATGTGTCTGCTTCTGACTATTCTAATTTTTTTCAGTTACAAACTTTTGCTTAATTGTTTCTTTGTATTTTTTTTGGCATAGGGTAAAAGAACAGTAGGCTGCAGATCAGGGGAAGAGGGAGGAAAGACTTTATTGGTTACCTGCATTTGCCTTTAGTCCCATTTAATCCCATTAACGACTCTAATGAGACAGGTGCTAAAGTTTGCCATTTTATAGGTGTAGTACCTGAGGCTCAGATCATTAAGTAATCTTAATTTGATCAAGGCCATAAGCAGGTAAGCAGTCAGATTTGAGCCCAGATCTGTCTGATTTCAAAAGTATACCAGAAGACAGAACCCTTACAGCGGTTTTAAAGGGGAACTTTACACAATTATTATGCTATGATAAGAGTAACTGTGATATCACAGCCTGTACCCCTAAACAAGTAATACTATTATATGTTAATTAAAAAATAATTTAAAAAAAGTAATGATGTACTACCTGTTGGCTAATTGAATTTAAATAAAGAAAAGGAAAAAAAAAGTTACTGCAATATAAAAGAACTCTAAAGGATACCCTAAAGCTGAGGGAGAGTATCCAGGAAATGACAAATTTGGAAGACTCCCGCACCCCCCCCCCCCCCCCAGTCCCCCGGCCAGGGCAGGAGTTCAGACGGTAATGGAGAAGGTGTAGTTGCAACCTTTTAGATGGCAGAGATGCTTACTGGTTTGCCTGGGTTAGAACTGGGTCTTTAGTTCTTGGCAAGTGGGTGTCTAGGCACAAGTTGGAGAGAGAACCGGGGCACCAGTGTGGTGTCTGCAGTATGTGGGTCCTTGTTAAGAGGGCCATAGAAAAGTGATCTTTAGGCTAGGGTGAGGTCGCAGAGTCAGTAGTTGCCGTATGTGGCTGGGGCAGAACCCTTGCAATTGCTCTTCATCATTCCTACTGCGAAGTGCTTTCCTCTTGTGCTCTACCACTTCTACTAAGACAGCTTCATATCATGCTCACTGTAAGGGAGAAATACTGAAGGGATTTTGTCCATTATTGCATAGCAGGTATTTAAGGTGGATTTGGAGCTGAGAGGCAATAAATTGGTAACTGGCACAAAGACCTATGTTTCTTTTTTTTTCTTTTTTTTTTTTTTTTTTACTACACTCATACTCATCTTTATTACTACATTTGAGCAATTGTCATCATAATTATGTTGACATTTTTCATGTTTTTGACCAAGAGACTACCATCTGGGTAGTTTAAGAATAGTTCCTGCCCTCTTATATTTTATGGATCATTACCTACCTGACCTCCCCATCCCATTCCCCATCCTCTCCCATATAAGAGAAGTACTAAAATAAGTTTTTTATTTTGTGATGTTGTTTTTTATTTTGTGATTTTTTTATTTTGTGATGGACTATTTCAGTATTTTTAAAAATATTTAATATACATGAATGATAAAATAATGTATGTAAATTTTCAGCATTATTTTCCATATTTTAACATTGAAAAGGTTAGGATACATTTTATCCCAAAATAAAGAGAGTCTTTAAAATTTGATACATGTTGGGGCGCCTGGGTGGTTCAGTGGGTTAAGCCTCTGCCTTCGGCTCGGGTCGTGATCTCAGGGTCCTGGGATCGAGCCCCTCATCGGGCTCTCTGCTCAGCAGTGAGCCTGCTTCCTCCTCTCTCTCTCTGCCTGCCTCTCTGCATACTTGTGGTCTTTGTCTGTCAAATAAATAAAATATTTAAAAAAAATAAAATAAAATTTGATACATGTTACATTAGTAAAGTCAAAAATATTTTTCTTATATTTCCCTCAGTTGGTGGAAAGGCCCCTGAGAAATGTTGCCATACAAGTTGTTGGGATAGCATAGAATCTACCATGGAATCTTGGAGAACCCTGTGTGTCGATGTGTAGGATAAATGGCTGAAAATCTTAGCTCTTCTTCCTCATTGCACATCCAAAAAGATGAAATAAAATATGAGGCATAACAAATGACTTGATGTATTGATATGAATCTTTAGTTTCTATCATAGACCTGAGCATTATTTCATGTTTGGACTGATTTGGGCCCAGAATTAGGGAATTTAGTACAGCACAAAAAGTATAGGTTTTTAAGTTGGACTGCATATATTTGAGTTCTGGTCTTTTTTTAATAACTGGGATTATAGGCATGTGATTTAAACTTTCAAAACCTCCATTTTCTTAGTACTTTTGAGAGGAAAGAGGTGATTCCTATAGAACAATACAGTTTCTGGAGCATAATAAGTAGTTATTTCTAATGCTGCTTCTGTTGCTTTTCCTATTACCAGTATTCCATTTCCTTAAGGTGATCATAGAGTACCAGCTGTATAAATTTCTCCTGATAACTATTTCGTCCTGACAGTTGAAATTTTTGGTGATAAATTGTGGTGAATAAGTATGACAACTTTGGAAAACACAGAGCTTCCTTTTAGGGAAAAGAATTTGTTTTACCTCTTTTCTTGTTCATAAATTGAAAGTTCTGTTGAAAAACTGTAAACTATCTGTCTTTTCATGCTATTATAATCCACAAAATAACTTGTAAAATTGTTTCTGAATGGAGAAAAGAGAGGCCCCTTTAATTAGATTCACTGAGAAATTTTGCACTGACTCTTGTGGATCTTACCTGTATATAACTTCCCTTGATGGTACAGCCTGGCAGAAGTTCTTTTTATAGTATTTGAACATTTTATTTGCATTGAGGCACACACTCATCTATAGGCTATGGTGGAAATTATAGGTCTTGATATAGTTTGAAGGATATGGTTAAAGCTTGATATACTTTGATTCAAGGCAAAAAAAAAAAAAGACAAAATTTGACAAGTTATTTAGTATTCTAGCTTCAGTATGGAAAAGAATGAAAAAGGTAGTGAAACTGTGTATCACATAGGCTAATTAGACTTTTTCCCCTCTGATTCTGATGGGAGCCATTCTACATAGAAAATGATGTGCTTTAATGTGTGCAAACCATCAGTACTTTTTGTCATTAATTTTTTTTTTAAGATTTCATTTATTTATTTGGCAGAGACACAGTGAGAGAGGGAGAAGCAGGGGGAGTAGGAGAGGGAGAAGCAGGCTTCCCACTAAGCAGGGAGCCCGATGCCGGGCTCAATCCCAGGACCCGGGGATCATGACCTGAGCTAAAGGCAGATTGTTAACGACTGAGCCACCCAGGCGCCCCGTCATTCAATTTTTTTTTTTTTTTTTTGTCATTCAATTTTTATTCCATTCCTTAGGAGGAGTATTTTACCCTGTCTCAAGTGGCTTCTATCTACCTGATTATGGGAAGTATTAGATAGGCTCTAATCCTTAAAGATTTCATGCCTAACACTGTGCTGCAAGTAGTTCATGTTAAGTAATAACTTTAAAACTGCCTTTGTGGTGCTCCGTTCTTCAGAGTCACTTAGTAATTGATTACTGAATGAATAAAAGAAAAATGAAAATAACATAGTGGAAGTGGATTTATTTTACATGTTGTAAAGGCACTACAGATAAAAAGCATTTCAAAATCGAATTTGATTGATTAAAGTAGTTCCCATTCTAAGTGAGTCCTAGATAAATCTAGTTAGTTTGCTTTTTTAAAATACGTGTTTTAAAGGATATATTACTAGTTTCCATGCTAGAATGACAATTTTGACTCTTCATTTTTTGGTGGTTTTATGTGGTGCTTGTTTTCTTTTTCCTTTCCCCAGTCAACATCTGTCCTTATAGCTCCAGAATGAATGTTAAAGTAGCAAAGATTAATCCTTTTTGATTTCTTCATTTGTTTTAATTACAGAGTTCTAAAATATGTACAATTAAACAAATGAACAAAAAATTATTCACAACAGGTATTAAAAAGGAACAAAATTGTCTCAGCTGTTTGATATGCATTTTAACAAAGACTCAAGTTGACATCCTCACATCAGTGGTTGGGGAAATGATACACTTGTGTGCCAGTCACACTGAAATGGCAGTTTAAATCTGTAGTACTTGCATGACTTGTACTAAAACATTTTCAGAAGGTCAGTATGAAGCAAGCAGCCAGCTGTTGGGTTTATCAAAGATAAACTCTTACAGGGTACAGTGGCATTTAATACACCAATGGAGCATGAAAAACCTGCGCAAATTAAATTGAGAAAGCAGCTGCTTGTTGAAGATGTGTATCTTTATATTGAACTCCACAGGATGCATTTGGGATGTTGGATTAAAACATTTTATCAAGAAAATCTCAAAATCTTGGATTTTCTTCTCAATAAAAAAGATAATTTCTAAAGATTTGTAACTGTTTTTCCCAGTGCCTCTATAAAATGATTCTTAGTCTTAATCTTTTAAAATTTATAGTGTGTCACAAAACACAACCATGTAGCTGTCATAGCCTCTCAAGCTGTGATAAAGCAGAATTTATTAATGTAGTCACAAGGTTAAGAGAGATTTGCTATCTCATTTTTACCTTCTTTCTTAGAGAAGTATTGTAGATCTGTTTAAAATTCAAAATCCGGTGATCCGTATATTGTGTGGTTGTATATGAACAGAAGGGGTTCCTAATGCATTTCAAAAGTTTCAGCGCAACTTTCAAAAAAAAAAAATTAGAATCAACTCCCCTTTTAGTTTTGAGCATTCTTTGTTTAGTGTTGCGCATCATTCAAACTTAAAAAAAAATACATGGGGCATGTAAGTTTTAGTGCATAGTTTGTATGGTGAACAGATGAGTGAAATAGGACTTCCTTTTATTATTACAACTGTTTTGGACAGTCTTCAGGAATCAGTTTTAACCTGGAGAGAAAGTCAGGATGAACACCAAAAATTGTTTTAAAGTGTTCTGAAGGACTATTCCAACAGCTTTTAGAAAAAAGTAACAAGGAAGAACAATTTACCTAATTACTGCAGAATTACTGCATAGTTCTTAAATTAGATCCTTACTTCTCAGTGCTTAAAATAATGAATGTGAATACCTTTCCACGCATAAGAAAATGATGTTTTGTTTCATTGGAATAGTGGTTTTGTGCAAATATTTAAGAATAACAGGTGAGTGCAAAGAGCAGCGAATTAAAGTGACAGGCAATTATAGATGTTCACTCTTCACTTTGGCTAAGTGCTAGAAAACTGCTTATTGCAGTTGTGCTTATTCCGTATTCTTCAGTTATGTGAGATTCTGAGATCTGACCATAGAATTCTTTCAGTAGTTATTTGAGATGGCACATATTTTATGTTTATTTTCCTCTTGGGCATTTTATGAAAGGGTTTGATAGCAAAATCATATTTTCTCTCCTCATAGATGGGTTCACATTGTATGTGCCCTATATGTTCCCGGAGTAGCCTTTGGAGATATTGACAAATTACGACCAGTAACACTAACAGAAATGAACTATTCCAAATATGGTGCCAAGGTGAGACAAAGTTTTCTTGATTGTTTAAAAAGAGAAAATTTTTACTTACTAGTTCATATGGTTTTTTACTAATGTCAGTATCGTTGTTGAGTATAGAAATGCTTATTCTTATTATACTATTTGTAGAGCAGTTAGCACTTAACCATCTATTATTGATAGTAATTTTCCCAGAAGGCCCATAATTTATAAATTCTTTCATGTATTCTTAAAGTAACTTGTAGGGTAAAATGATAACTGATTCTACTTCCATTTCTGTGGCATTTAGTACACTCCTTAGCACATACGAATTTTCAGACCAGTCAGAACAAATACAAACTTATTTCTGACTTTATTTTTGAAGAGGAATTTACCAAAATTATGAAAAGAGTACAAAAGGCACCTGATGTTTTACTTAGAATTGAAGGAGTGTTGTGTTTTTGTTTTTGTTTTTGTTTTTTTAAAGACTACATAACCTGTTCAGCAACCTGTCAGCCTCAAGTTTATGAATTGGTTTTTATTGCTTGAGCTTTAGGTTTGTAAGTGATAAAAATACACTTATTAATTTAAATTTAGGTATAAAATTACCACAGACATGCCTGTAATATTAGAATGAATTAGGCACTGATAACATTCTCTTCCATTGCTGTCTTTTGGGAAATTGGGAAGGAAGACTCTTGAAAAGCATTAGTAACACATTAAAGTGGGATGGGAAGCTTACAGGTTGTTGGAAAATTCTGATAGTGAAAATTCAAGAATTTGACAGTTTCTGCTGTTATATCCAGAATATCCTCCTTAGGTTCTAACCACCACCTGCATCCCTCACCCTCCAGCCTCACTCCAAAGCTCTTGTGCTTTAGTTTGGGTAATTTCTATTGAACTATCTGCAGTATCCCTCTCCAAAATTAGCTAAAGTCCCCAGGGAGAAAAACAGGCCCAAGCACTGAACTTACTTTCCTGGTCCTCAGGTAATTTTATACTATGTTGTTATTTCTCTGATGCCTTTAAGTTATAGTTTTAAAAAAGTTTGTCCATATTTTCTAGTTTCTAGCAGGATTAGTACGAATTACCTAGTGCACCATTATTGGAAGTGAAAGGTACTGCTTTTTGATAACAGTTTCATAATTCACACAGAGCCTAGAGGGGACTAACTTAAGTAATTTTCAGTAGACAGACATTAGCACCATAAATACAAATCTACAAGCACTGAAAAACACAGGGAACAGATATTACTTCATATATCTGAAGCCTGCAGTGACCTCTGAACCAAAAGAGAATCACTAAATATGCAGTTATGACCTGATTTTTCATTATCACCTTTTGTTCTGATGACCAGGAAGTGGAGTAAAAAATAATGTATTCTCTAGCTCATTTGTAAAATGAGCTCTTCTAGACCTGTCTATCCATTTCCTAATCCTGGTTGCTTGCTTTCTTGAGTTCTCAGTTGCTTAGTTCCCTAGCATTTTAAATGATTCAAACAATTGAGAAAATTCCCTTTTCTTTACTAGATTGTTGTACAGTCTTCTCAAGACTTTATGGTCAGGAAATTTTTCCTTGTATTCACTCTGAAATCCCTTGCTCTACTTCATCATATTACATTGAATTAGTTTGGGAACTATCCTGAACAGTTTGGTTCTGTTTGTGCTATTGATATTCTTGAAATAATTCATTTCTCTTTCTTCCTTCCTCTCTCCTGTTTCATTCTTTCTCTCCTTTTTTGGTTTCATGTTTAGATTGCTATTTGCTAGGATTTTATACCATACACCTTCTACTGTTATTGAAAAAAGACAGATAACCAAGCAGTAGAGTGTCAGGATTTGGGTGTGTTTTCACATCTGTGCCCAGAGTTCTGTTCTTGCTGTTTTCATTCATTGCTGATGTATCACTTTGGTGCTGTCTACCTATAAGATAGTCAATATGTACACTGTTAAAATGACATTTTTATTATCTTTTGAAACTTCTAAATTTTTTTCTTTATGTTTCCCTTATATCTAATTTACTTAGAATGTATTTACTAGAAACAGTAATTTAATTGTCAATTGGCAATCTTGTAGAATTTAGCAGGTTTTTCTTTTATGAAGATTATTATCACTAGAGTAATTTATATTTTAGACCAGATTTTTTTTTTCTTTGTGCTTTAGATAGTGAAAAGGATAAAGTCAATTTGGGGGAATTGGGAGCAATCTCAGGTTTAAACTAACTTTTAGTTTTATAGTTTTTTCCTTTGTATTCAGAAGGGATGTAATTGGCTGTAATATCTATCACAACAAATTAAATTGTTTACTTAAGATTACTTTTAATTCTCTTTAAAGTATTTCTCTTTAATAGTATTTAATTCTCTTAAATATATTTTAAAAATACATAATTTCTTGGACTATGTTGCCTAGATTTTTTGGTGAATTTTTCTCTGGCTTCTTACTTATTTTCTTAAATTTTCCAAGCAGTATTATATTGTTCAAATCAGTATAGGTTAATAGTTAAGAGCATGGACTCCAAAGTAAGACTACCCTGGTTTGAATATTGACTTGGCAGTTATTTTTTGTGTTATTTTGAGGAGATTTCTTAACCTGTCTTCAGCTCCGTATTCTCATATGTAAAATGGAGATAATACCTGTTCCACATATTAGAGTGGAAGGTTCCACAGTATGGTTACGTACATTAATAGATATGAAGTGCTTAGAATAGTGCCTAGCACATAGTAAACCTTCAACTTACTATTATTACTGTCATCATTTTTATATCAGTGGAATTTGGTTTATTGGAACTATAGAGAGAATTTTTTCATATAAACACTTTTCTTGCCTTTAATTACTGTTTCTATTAATATGCTATTGATTCACTATTTGTATCTTATGGATGCTTTGTATGAGAATGCAGTCTTGTTCTAGAGATATTTTTATTCTGAGAGTTTTCCTATTATTCCATTGTAGGAGTGTAGCTTCTGTGAAGACCCTCGTTTTGCTAGAACTGGAGTTTGTATTAGCTGTGATGCAGGCATGTGCAGAGCTTATTTCCATGTGACCTGTGCCCAGAAGGAAGGTCTGCTTTCAGAGGCAGCAGCAGAAGAGGTGGGTTTATTTAAACTCATCGTTGTTGAATGTGTTCATAAGATGTCTCATGACTATAAATGTCCCACACAGGTGTGCATCATAAAAGAAATTAACAAGCTTATTTTAAAAGTCTTTGCCCAGATCACTGATCTAAAATTCCAAAAGTAAACAGTATATGAGTTTTTTTCAGTTTGAAAGCTAGTTAGGCATTTGGAAAATATGTTAACTAAAATTCTTATAGTGACAGATATATCTGACAGATAAAATGAAACATAATCCAGGTTGTTTTAAAGCATTAAAATGTCAGCATCTTGGATAACCTTACTCTTTCTGTAAATAAAATCATTACCCCATCTTCAATATCTGTATTTCTCTCTTTACAATTGTTTTTGATTTCATAATTTTCCTTCCAGGTTTATTAGTTTTAGATTAAGTAGTCAGTTGTTTTCAGAGTATGTTTTGGGGACTCCTTAATATTCTTTCAAAGGGTCTATGAGGTTAAAACTATCTTTGTAACAATTATGAGAATGGTATATACATTTTTTTTACTCTTAATTCTCTTATGAGCCATAGTGAATATTTTCAGAGATTATATAACACATAACAGTATAACATAATGTGGAAATAGTTTTGAGAATCCAGCTATCTTCTTTTATGTGGGCTATTTAGATGTTAAAGAGATTTGCAAAAATGTAAAACAGTGCCAATCCTCTCACTGAATTTGTGTATGTAAATTATAGTATTTTTAATAAAAATGTTATTTATCTTAATATGTGATGAGATTATTTTAAAATGAATAAATATATTCAAATTTTATTTGAATAAATAAATTTTATTTATTATTTTAACTTCTGATACAGAGACCGTCTATAAATAACTTACATACGCTCTTTTGGGCTCCACTAAGTTTTAAGACTTAAGGAGTCCTGAGACTGTTTTGTTGCTTCTTTAACTTTCTTATGTAGGCAGGTATTTGAGTGTTTGCTTGGTAATTCTTGCTGTGTATTCATGGTGGATCTGTGGTATATCCAAGTCTCTCGTTGAGTTACTACTTTTACTGGCTAAATTTTTGTGTCATATAATAACATGCTTATTATATAGGGTCTTTATCTTACTTATCTTTATCTATAGACAGGAATCAAGTGAAAAAGATAATCTGATAAAAATTTGTTGTGTAGATTTATAGTAATATATTTTTTGAATAAATAAATTCTATAGAAGTTATATGTTGGTACAAAGTTTTATATCAGTCTCTGATTCTTATGAATTGTACTTTGATTGATGAAGGGTACTGGGTAAACATTGAACATTTTCACAGCTCTTAGGCAGAAACAGAGGTATAATGAATTATGTAATAGGGTTGTGTGGATTAGTTATGACTACAACTCAGGATGGTGAACAGAAGTGCAGAGGGGCAATACAAGTAAGATTTAGAAGACCAGGTAATCCCAGGTGAATACTTAAGATCACAGAATCTGTTAGGTTATTACTGTACTGTGGCAAACTCTGAGCTTTGCAGTCTAGAAACTCCTTTGTAGCTGTTTCTTTTTGAACTTATTGAGAACTTTACCTTTCATACTATGGTAGTTTGGGTTCCTTTGTATAGCACCATTCACCATTTTTTGGGGGGTGGGTAGATAGTAGCTAAGGAAAATGTGTGAAGTTGAAATGCCTTGGTGGCGCAGTCATTTAAGGGTCTGACTCTTGGTTTCAGCTCATGTTGTGATCTCAGGATCATGCGATCAAGAGGCCATGGCTTTACTCAATGCAGAGTCTGCTAAAGTTTTCTCTCCCTCTGTCCCCTCCCCCGCATGCTTACACATGTTCCCATATATGCGCTCTAAAATAAATAAAATCTTTAAAAAAATAAAAAGAAAATGCATGGAGGAGCCATATACTGCTGCCTTGTTATGTATATTTTTTGGGGGGAAATGATTTAAAACATATTTGCATATGTTTCTGGTATCTTGTTATAAAATAGAATTGGAAAATTATAAAGATTTCAGAACAATGTTTTAAAACCCAAGACTTTTTATGAATCTATATCAGTGAGGTTTGCTCTTGGCAGTAATCATTCTGTTAAAAGAAGTTCTTGGCTACTTCTTATGGTTGTGCTTCTATAGACTAAGATTCATGTAATATAATAGTATATTTAATTAAGAAACATTTTAAACTAAAACAGATCTATTGTTTGTGAGCATATCTTCTGTTTCAATTTTCTATGACATTCTAGAAATCTTCTTTCCACTTTTTTAAAGACTTGTTTGTTAAGCAGGATTTCTTCTTAATGGCTGTTTTATATAGGCAGTAAAAAAAAAAAAAGTAAAAGAAAAAAAAATTTTAATTCTTGAAAAAGAATTAATACCTCAGTTTCATCCAGTGACTTCCCATACCTTACCATATTTTAATGATTTTTTATGGCCTTCTGACATAGTACTTTCTCTCATTGGTGAGGATCCATTTGAACTTTGTATTCTTTCTGATCCACTTTGTGAAAATTCCAGGTTATTTAGAATATTCAAACCATGTTATGATACAACGTATTTATTAGTGAAACAGCAATAGCACAGATTCAGTTATGCTGACTGAAATTTATGTGATTATATTTCACACCATTTAGTTAACCTTAAAGTTACTTATATTTCATGTAAAACATATGGTAGTTTCTTCTGTGATAAAGTATGATTTGTCACACTCTGTTACCATGTAGAAAATTCTCTTTGAAACAATATAAGATTACAGATTTTATTGATTCCTTTTTTTTGCATAACCTTTGACTTAATGGACTGGAATCATTCATGGATTAAATGTCAAGGGCTCAAGTTAGATCTTTAGTTATTGAACTGATGCCTTAATATTGCTGGGAAAACCCCAGTTGGTAGGAGTGGGCTCTTGGTGGATCCAGTAATTTTACATGAATTCATCAAGAAGTTACATTGCTTAAAACTTGACATTTTATATGAGATCTTCAGTAATACCTTTATTTGGCTATTAGGCATTTGGTAACTTACATTTTTATTTTAAGAAGTCTTTCATTTTTAAATATATATATACATATATATATTTAAAATATATACCTTTGGTGTATCTGTATCAACTGTATTCAACTGTATCTTTAGAGTATGTCTAGAATATGTCCACTTTTTAACAAATACATTGCTGCGATCCTAGTCCCAATAGTCCTTTGTCACCTGAATTAATAACGTCCTAACTCTTTCCCTACTTTTCTTTGCCTTTTTAGGACAGAGGGTGACAATTTTTTTCTCTGAAGAGCCAGATAGTAAATATTTTAGGCTTTTTAGCCCTATCATTTGTGTCACAACTATTTAACTTTTTGCCATTGATTGTGAAAACTGTCTTAGAGAATATGTAAATGAGTAACTATGGTTGTGTTGAAATAAACTGTTTCCAAAACAAGCTGGGCTCAGATTTGGCTCTTAAGTCATAGTCCACCAATCCTTTTCTAGTGAATAGAGGACCTTTTCAGTAACAACTAATGCTGTTCCTTTAAGATCTAAGTCAGATCTGCTCACTGATCTGATCAAAACCCTTCAGTGGCTTCCCATCTGATTCACACTAGAGGCCAGTTTTTTGTTTGTTTGTTTGTTTGTTTGTTTACAGTGATTATAAAGTTCTGTGTGATCTGGGTTCATATTACCTTTCAGACCTCATCACTTCCCCTCATTCAATCTCCCTGGCCTTTTCCCTGCTCCTGTAATGAATGTGTTGGGTAAGCTCCTGCTCTGGGCCTCTGTACTTGTTTCCTTGCGTGGGCTGCCCTTCCCTCACATATGTCCTCATGGCTCATTCCCTCACTCTTTACAAATTAATTAATTAATTAATGATTTTATTTATTTATTTGACAGAGAGGGTCATAGTGAGAGAGGAAACACAAGCAGGAGAAATAGGAGAGGGAGAAGCAGGCTATCTGATCCCAGACTCTGGGATCATGACATGAGCTGAAGGCAGATGCTTAACAACTGAGCTGCACAGGCTACGCTCTCACTTTTTTTTTTTTTTTTAATATTTTTTTTATTTATTTGACAGAGAGAGAGATCACAAGTAGGTAGAGAGGCAGGCAGAGAGAGAGGGGGAAGCAGGCTCCCTGATGAGCAGAGAGCCTGATGTGGGGTTTGATCCCAGGACCCTGGGATCATGACCTGAGCTGAAGGCAGAGGCTTCAACCCACGCTCTCACTTTTTGTTTTAGATCTTCATTCCATGTCTGCTTCTCATTGTGGACTTTCCTGGGCACCGTGTCTAACATTGTAACACTCTCCCTCCATGATACTTTCTAATCCCCTTTCCTGCTATTTTTTTGCCATCTTTTTAGTACCTAACCACTGTCCAGTATATTGATTCTTATTTATCTTGTTTATTGTCTCTCACCTTTATTAGAACATTGATTTATGAGGAGAGGAGTTTTTTTTTGTTTGTTTTCTCTTGCTTTTCACTGTCTTAGTCATTAGAATACAAGTTGTGAGGGAGTGGTCCCTTTTATCAATCAGGTTTTGTTTGATCAGCTCTTTAGCATTATTGGCTTTTTAGGTAAGATTTTATTTAAAAAAATAATTCTAGGGTACAGTTAGTTTTCAAATCATCATTTTGTGTTGTAGTATTTTGCATATATCCTTTTCCATTTATTTAATTTTCTATTTATATAAAGGCATTGCCTGAGGGTATACCTTTGTTATACTTTTTTGTGGTTTTGGAATAACTGTTTATTCATACGTGTGTCTCTTTATCTCTTTGGTTTACATGAGATCATGTTTCCTGCCATTCCAGCTCAGGGAACTATTAAAACATGTGTTAGCAAATAGGTCACTTTCACTTTGGTACTTTTCTAAGATAACCTTATTTTACCTTTATTTAAAGTTTAACTGTAGCAAGCATGATATATTTGGGGTATATGCAGAATATATCAATTTTTTAAAATAGTCTATATAAGCTCTATTATTAGACACATACCTGGACAAAATTATTTTGATTCTTATGATATTCTTTTTGCTAACATGAGTT